CCTGCCTCTGAGCTGGACGTTCTTTGAATCTGCTTTATTTTTCCTTCTGATTTAATCTTTCGTATCGATTTCTCTAGAATGGTAATACATTTCTAAGCATAGTGCCCATACAAGCAGCAGCAGAAACAAATGGGAACTCTTAGAAGTGTAAATGATGTGTCCATCAGATGGTTGATGAATCTTTGGTTGTTTCTAGTATTTTGATGATATATGAGTATAAGTCAAAAAGTAGTATTACAAAATCATAGAAGCCTTTATTAAACCAAAAGATACCAAGGTGTGTAGCTATTGTTTCTCAACATCTTCTCCATCTAGACCTATCCACTCCTGAAGGTGGTGTTTCCACCTTGCTAACCTTTACTGAAGAATTCTGTGCTCTTTGATTGGTATCATGTCAACGTGGCAGTGTTGGCATTCTTAAGGAACTCGAATCCTGTTCCTTCTCGGTGTTCTTTGGGTTTGGGGAACACAAAGAAGCCTGAAGGGGCAAGATTAGGGGCATAGTGTGGATGGGGTAGGGTTTCCCAAATAAAATCCTCCTAGAACAGCCCTTGCTAACCTTGAAGAATAAGCAGGTGCAAATTTTCTGGCCTTTGCTCACCAGTGTAATTTTCAATTTTCTTAAAACTTCTTAGTAAGTCTCTATGATTTCCTGTGTCTTTCAAAAAAAAAACAAAAAAAACCATATCAAGATTACCCCTTTAGAGCCTCAAGAGATAATCCCATAACCTTCTAAACTGATCTCTCTGCCTTGAATTTACCTCATCCAGTAGATCCTATCAGGAGCCACGGTTTTGATTGGACCTTTGATTTGAAAGTACCCTAACAGGACTAAGACAAGTGTAATACTGAAATAACTTGTCTACTCTCATCCACAGATAACAAAGACACATAATTATAATGCTGTTTGAGGACTAAGGTGCTTCTGACCTAAGCCAGGATGCTTCCAGTCACCTCATATGCATGTGACAGCTGGACACTGCATAAGGAAGAATGAAGACAAATGGATGCATGGGAATTATGGTTCTGGTGAAGAATGTTGAATGAACAATGGACTGCCAAAGGAACAAACAAATCTCTCCTGAAAGAAATATAGCCAGAATGTTCAAGGGCAAGGATGGGGAGACTGTGTCCTGTACTTTGGGCATGCTGTCAAGAGAGACTAGTACCTACAGAAGGACATAACGCCTGGCAAAGTGGAGGGGCAGCAAAAAAGAGGAAGGCCCTCAAGGAGATGGATTGACACAGTGGCTGCAACAATGGGCTTAAATAAAAACACAATTGTGATTGTGGTGCAGGCCCAGGCAGGGTTCCCTTCTGTTGTGCGTAGGGTCCCCATGGGTTGGAACCAGCTTAATGGCACCCAACAACAAGAACAACAACCACAACAGAGCAGTTAGTGGTGGTAGTAGAACACCATCTAGTTGTTCGTGTCTCCGGGTAGTGGAGGCTGTGCGTCATGTGGCTTACTCATCGTCTGGATTAGTATTGTTTCATTGAGTCTGCTTTTCTCCACTAGTCTTTGCTCAGCACACCTGATGGTGTAATGGGTTACACGTTGGGCTGCTAACTGAAAGGTCAGTACTTTGAAATCACCAGCTGCTCTGCAGGAGAAAGATGAGGCTTTATATTCCTGCACAAATTGACAGTCTCAGAAATCCACAGGGGCAGTTCGTGTTCCTCTGTCCAATAGGGTCTCTAGGAGTCAGAAACCACTCAATGACAGTGAGTTTTGAGCATGAGATTCTTTGCTCTGCATAGGGAGAGAGCAGCAGCTGTGTCTTAGATGGCCACCCACAAGCTTTTAAGATCCTAGTTGCTACTCACCATAGAAGGATGTAGAACACTGTCTTTGTGATTAGTTACACAAAGGGTCCCAGACTGTGGTCCTGAGTCCCCAAGGCCAGTGGCTCATTGCCTCAGAGTGCTTGGTTATGGCTAAGACATGTTCAGGACTTTGCCCCCTGCATGCTTTGTTATATCTTTGGATATAACTGCAGCACATACAAATACATATGTAAAAATGTCCTTTGCCAAACATACGTATCAGTGGTAGGACAAGGAAAGCCACATTTTAACAATTACAGGATAAGCAAATGTAAGTCCAAAGTACTCATAGGCAGAATGTATAATAATGATCTTGTAACATCTATAAATGCTAGGAGAGAATTAGCTATACTGGGGAAGTTTATCCACTAAAAACTTACAGTAGGCTAATAAGATTGATATAGGCTTGCTAAAAAGCTAATAAAAGATCTAGATATTTATTTTTCTAGCCCAAAGGCTGAATAGTTATATAAAAATTTTTTCTATGACATTTCTTTGGAAGTAGTTTTATTTCTGTGCTTAATGAATTCCTAAAAACTTATATGCAAGTATAATCTATAAAAGTCAAGCAATAGCCTTACATGTTATGTGAGGAATTTTATCCCCAAGAGCTAAATTTTTTTATAAAGTCCTAAATATATATTATAAATGTTCTAGTCTTAGAATAGAAACCTGAGCATTTAACAGTATATATGTACTTATTGAAAGTACACCAGACAGAAATTAAACATGAAACGCAGGCAGCAACATTACTTATCTAAAGTATTTTCATGCCTCAAATTCTGCTCTTGGTTTACCTGAAGTGCCATTTGATGCTGTGAAGAAGGGCTTTCTGGTGGTGACTTTCCAGAGGCTTGTGAAAAAAGTGCGCATATTTGTTCATCAGCTTTCAGTCAAATTTCTTTCTTGGATCAGGATGGTAGAAGAGCCATATGAGTCAATATTGCTTCTCCCATCTTCCAAATTCCTTAGAATAACAAAATGATGATAAAAAGGAATTAGGATTGCAAGATGTAACTAAAATGTGAAAATACAGGCTACCACGTTCAATAGGAATTCCTGTTAAGTAATTTTTCAGTGTAGATATGTTTCCAATGCAGTATTTCAACACATTATGTCTTATCTGAGAGCTATAAAAAATAAATTGATAACAGTGTCATGTGGTTCTGATTAGGATCGAAATAAAAAGTCCTGGACAGAGAGGAGGGGTGTGGATATAGAGCAAGATTTGAAATCATAAAAGGCCTAGCTTGACTGGTCTGATAGACTTGTCCATGAAACTCCAAACTCACTGCTCTGGGGTCCATTCAGACGCACAGCAGCCCTAGATGACAGGGGACAACTGTCCCGTGGGCTTCCCAGAACGAAGTTCTGCACAGGAGTAGAAAGCCTCTGAGTGGCTGGTGGTTTCAAACTGCTGACCTTGTGGTTAGCAACCCAACACACCACCATGACTCCACAGCAGACACTGGAAGGATCTCTTCAACCAATGTTTCCCAAAGTGAGCCATACCACCCTTGGGGGTGCTGGGAAGATTCGGGGTTGGGGGGGGAGGTGGCTTCAAAAGCCAATGCCTACACTTTGTCGTAGACTATGGACTAGAGTACAAACAATTTTAATTGCGGGCGGAGGTGGGGGTGGTGGGAGGCGGGAGGCGTTTACTGAAACAAGTGCAGTTGCCAAATACATTTGGTAACCTATATCTTAGACTGTGGCCCTTATACACCCTTCAAGCCTGGGGAGCAACTTCAAGCCAAACAAAAGACAGGCCTATGAAGTGAGTAAGAACACCAGGGAGGAACTTACTCCTCTATGAGACCCAAAGGGTAACATTTGCCCAAACGCAAAGCGCCGACTTCGCAAAGACCACGGAAAAGGTTCCATTCTCTATTATCCCCCCACCCAAACTTTTTTAAGTTCCCTTAGAAATTGTTGAATGGAAAACTAATTTCCTTTGTAAACTTTTACCCAATGTACCATGAAAGGTTTATACTGAAAAAAAGAAGGTGGGTTCCTTCTACCACACAGTTTTGGTTCAATCTCTTGTGGTGGGTTGGTAGAAGGACGCCAGCCTGGCTTTGAGGCTCCTGGCAGAACATCCTTTTCCAGGGGCTGTGGTGGCTCCCGAGCGACTGCTGAGGAATGGTGCCCAGAGCTTAGCCCCACTTAGGGTTTTGCCTATGCATTAAATACTGTCTGTGGTTTTATTCCCTGGTGTTCCCATTTGAATAAAATGAGAAACGCTTGTGAAACAGGATTTCCGGAAGACGGTGGGAAAAGATCTGAGTCGAAAAAAATCCCATGCTTGGATTTACTCCTGTTCATTCGACTGTTCTCTCGAGAAGTAAGAGAAACTCAACCTGTAGGTATTTACTTCCCTATCCGTTAGAAAACGTTCGTAACGTCATAGAGAGAAGCCATGTTTACCATGTACCAAGTGAAATACGATTTTAAGCACTGACAATGTATGTCTTCCTTAATAAGAGTCAGAATCATTACTAGTATAATTTATAAAGCCCATCTGGCAGTGAGGCGATCTACAAACATCGTTCAATGGTCACAACCACTCTTTGAGAGGCATTTATACATCAGGAAACTGAAGTTCTGAGAAGCTAAGAACTTCTCCAAGAGCACCCCCCAGAGCAAACTCTCTGCCCCAGAGTCAGGTCCAGGCGGAGCAATCCTGCAGGACGGCGCGGAGCTGCCCCTGAGGGTTTCGGAGACTGTGAGAGCAGACGGCGTCATCCTTCCCCCAGAGTGGCTGGTAGGTTCGAACAGATCACTTTCCAGTAGTAGTGCAGTCACTGGTAGGATCTGGTAGTGCAGTGGGTTAAGTAGCACATCAGTGACAAAGAACAGAATTCAACTCTTCTTCCCAAACCATTTTTCATATAAGACAGGGGCATCAACTTTCATACTTGAAACAAAAACCTGGTCACTCATCATCTTATTTGATTTTGATAAGAATCTCTGAGAAAAGTAAAGAAAATATTGTTATTTCCCTTGTGAAGGAAAGAAAACTGAGACACAAAGAGGCTAAATGCCTTGACCGGCCTCACTCATTCATGACAGAGTTGGTCCAGAGCCCCCTTTTCTGGCATTAAAGTCCTACTTTTTTGGTTACCAAATGCACCCTACAACCAGGTAAAGTCACGTTAAGAAAATCTAGTGCTTTATTTTTGTTTTTAAGATTCTAGTTTTAAATCCTCCCTCTAGTTTTAAATCCT